GGTGCTCTCCAGCAGAAATCCCACCACGTTCCTTCCCAAAGTCTGTGTGCAGCTGGTGTAAAACCCTCTGGCCAGCCACTGCAGAAAAGTAAACTTAACATAAGCTGCTGCTCTATCCTGGCAAGCAGCTACACTAGATAACCCTCTGCAGAGATATAAAACTGTGCAGTGTTTGAAAACCTGGTGTGAGAGAAACAGTAAACTACACAGAAATCATACCAAACAAAGCATGAGGGAGGGAGCAAGACGAAAGTGTGAATACAGCAGAATGCAACATAAAAATACATGTTTATCCATTTTATTTGCACAGACATTATCTTTCCTCTGCCTCAATCAGAGGGATCCAGAGGCAGCTTTGCAGTATGGGAGGAAGGAAAGCTGGGTGCGGGGGTCCCACATGAAGTGTGCTCCTGTACCATCCAGCAGTGACGCTGGGCCAAGGAGCCTGACCAGCCTGTGCCAGCACCTAAGCTCCTCTGGTTGCCCAGCATGAGGTTTTCTGCACACTAAAAGCTGATTTAAATACCTTTACACCCCTGTACAGATGCCCACAGGCCCTTTGGCTGTGGCACAGCTGTCACTGCCCATGCTTTTGGATGAGCAGGAAGGGATGCAAAACCAAGGTCTCACCAGCTATGTTGTGAGCACATGGGAAGGCTTACAAGCAGTGCACCTCTGCAGGTCTTACAGTAGCCTCACTGGGGAAAAAAGGGGAAGGATTTTGTTCCATGCCTTACAATAAGAAGTGCAATGCATTACTACTGATAATATCTGGATCACAGTGAATTACTAGCTTATTACTAGCTTATGCCTGGCTCTAATTTCCATTTCAAGTTTGCATTTATTTTTCACTTTGAAAAATCTACAATATTAATATGGTATCAGACGTATCCATTAAAAAAAAATGCTGACTCTGAAGGGAAGAATGTCAGGACTTACTGTTGATTTTCTAACTTTGGTCTACAGGTATATGAGTGCCCTGTCAACTTTACATTCAATAGCATTATATTCCTGGTGAGCATCACTCACAGAAATTGCCCCAGCTATCACACTGCCTACTCACACTCACTCATTTATAGTAGTCTGTCTGGAGAGCTGACATCTGAGTTGGCAGATATTTCAAAGAGCTGCTTTGAGGTTCAGTCCTCCCTCTTAAAAAATATGTTGTTTCTATTTAACCGTTCTTGGAGGTAGGAGGCAGGGGCAGGTTTTGCTCTTGCAGGGTGTGCTGCGTGTCTGACAGACAAATGCAAGGGTCCTGGGCCGAGTTATTCCAGGGCAAGGCAGGTTGATCCAAAAAAGAAAATTTCCATTGTGGAGGTGAAAGAGGTATTTTTAATCCATTAGAATGCTAGCTATGATTACTATATGAAACAACTAATCTGTTCTGACACGGCTTCAAACAATGTGCCACAAAGCCCAGACCTTAGTCTCGGTAAAGCTGAATGTATTTCTACTCATGCAAATGAACTTCATTTCTCTTTTGATGAAGCTCCTCATATTTTCCTTTCAAATCCCTTTTCAGAGCTGCAATTACTCGGAGCCTTGTTTACCCCGTTTCTTAGCTTAAACAAGCAACAGCTTTGCCAAGAGTGCTCTCCCTCTTGCTTCCACATCAGGAGGCATGCTGGCAATAACCAATATGGAGCTCCCCTGCTGAACCACAGCAAGTTTTCCAGGGGCTTTTCACAGAAGGTGGCACCAGTCCAACCCCAGGGGCACTTTTTTGAGAACCGTATTACATAAAACATGAAAGTCACTCACCTTTAAGGAATCCAGCCCAGCCCAGCCCAGCCCAGCTTCCTCCTAGGCTGCTACTTAGTGATTAACAAAGGTAAAGCCCAGACTTCTCTGCCCCACAGTGAGCTTTTCAGGGACACGTACCACTTCCAGTTCTGCTCAGGCTTGAAACTTGGAGCCAAATGTATCATTTGTATATGTCCTGAACCCATAACAGATAAACATCTTCCTGATACTGCATAGCAGGGGCGCTACATCAGGGAGGGGCCTTGAAATCTCCCAGACTGAAAAAAGGGAGAGTGTATTTAGCCGGATTTCATGCACATGGAAATTGTCAGCCCTTTTACCTACTCCACCCACCTGCAGGCACATTTCAGCTTGGATCAGTCACTGAATGGAGAGGCATCCCGGCTGCAGGCCCAATCTTTCACATCTGCCCTCACAAAGAAGAGAGGCTAATGCTGCTTTTTTTATGCTGTTGTAATTTACAACCCACTTAAATGCAAGCGATCACCATTTGAGAACTCCTACACTTGGACTGGAGTGAACACAGATGAAATAAAAGTAACTAATTTTTTGACCTGTTTTGCTTTTGTTTTTTTATTCATCTGCTTATTTTGCCTTTACATTTCCATTTCATTTCTTTCCTCTGTTACATGTTTCTCCTCCCTCTTCATTCCCACCTTGGTAGTAGTCCCTCTCTGGTAGATTTTCAGATTAAAGTTTCTCTCTTAAAGCACAAGTGACTATGGAATCCTCCTAGTCTAGATATGTTCTTGAAGTGTAAGGAGGAGCTGCTGCTGGTGCCTCATGGGAGCTCAGGATTTCAGCATCCCCCTGTTTTGGTTGAGCAGGCTGTTGGCAAGGAAGAAGAGAACCAGTAGCTGCTGAAGGGGAAGTGCTGCAGTGCTCATGGCACACAGCTGCAGCTATGCTACAGGAGGGTCAACATGTGAAGACTTCGGCATGGTGTTATACCTTAGGTGCTTTAAGGTGCTTCTAGTTGACCTGTTCAAACCATCTAGCTTTATTTATCCTTATTGTTCATTTTGCCTCCAAGACATTCTGCTAAACAATGGAAATGACAAAAGTTATGCACCTAAATGAAACACAGCTGATCTTCACACATACTGTAGCACAAACACAAAGGAACTTTCCCACCTTCCCCAGGAAGACTTAGAAACACAAGTAAGTTGTGCTGAATCTGAGCAGTAGCAATCCAAGGGGAAAGGGAACAGCAAACCACTCACAATAAAACCTCTTTTTGCTGTGCCCTGGGGAAGAACTGTAGTGCCTCAGAAAACTTCTCACTGCATAGGACACTGTTTTTAAGAGACTTGAAGGTGGCAGTGAACAAAAAGTGCAGGTACCAAGGACTTGGCTGGTATTCAGAACAGACCCCCCCCTTTTCACTGTGGCTCTGTTCCCAATGCAACCCAGTGCAAGCAGAGGTTATTATATAATATAGATGCATATACATGATTGATATGTTTTTTTTATGTCACATTTTACTGTTACATTGTCTTACATTATGTTATTTTATATAAGGGGAAACCAACATTTTACATTACATTCCCAGCCACTGTCTAAATATGGTCAGTGGGATTTTTTTATTACTATATGGACATGTGCTAAAGTAGCAACTTCACAGTGCAGTCAGAGCCAAGTCAGTCGTGTTATGCACTGTGAGCAATCAAAGCAGGGGATAACCCTGTGGTTTGCTGTGAGATATTAGGGCTCATCACCAGGAATGATAAAGGCAATAAGGAAAGGAAAGAGCAGACAGCCTGGATCTATCAGACTTTCAATCCTGTTTTTCATCTTACAGCAAGAAATAGTAGTGCCATTGCTCATCCTGGAAAGCGTCACAGCTTCTCTTCCAACCTGAAGCCTTCCCTTGTGCCCATATGGCCTAAGGTCACAGGCAAGATGTGAGCCAGAATAAGACCCTGTCTACAGCTGAGCAGAACTCTCAAAGCTGAAGTTCTGTATCAGCCACACCTCTGATGCACAGTGCACCAGCACTGTGTACCATGGTGTACAGGGAGCCCAACAGGGATGGGGCAGCACTGCCCTTGGACTGTGGTGCCACGTCCTCTTCACACAGCCCACCAATGTCAGCAAGGTGCCACTGGTATGCTAGGATGTGTGTCAATGCAACGAAAAGCAGATGCAGAGGAACAATACTTTGTTTCAGGGTAAATGCAGCCATATGGGAGCACTGGAGGGAACTGCAGACCCCAGCCTGTCCTAGACCTTCACCCCTGCTCAGCCACCCTCGCTGTTCCTGTGCGGCTCCAAAACGACCTCCAAGACCAAGATGCTGGGGGTGCCCTGAGTGTTTTTTCCCTAGGATGCTACTTGAGATAGAACAGAAGATCACTGGTGTAGCCCATGGCTGTGAAGTTTGCTGGCACTGTCACTCCTGCCAGCACAGCACTGCTGTGCCAGACCAGACCCTCCTCTCCTCCCACTTGGTGGGCAGCAGTGAGAACAAGCAATCAGCAAAGCACCACAGCACAGCCCACCACCAGCTTGCAGGAGCAGTAGAGACATTTCTTGTTTCAGTTTGCACACTTCACACCTCCAGAAATCTACTTGGCAGTAGACAAGAGTTTTTTATAGCTTCAAAACCTCAAACTACAATTGCTCTGAACCTATTGGCTTTAGAGGTTTTCCTGATCTCATGTTAAAACCATGTGAAATTGCTGAGCCTTGTCAGGTACCTACAAACAAACAAAAGTCACAAGCCAAACTTCTCAAAACTCACGAACAGAGTTTTACCCTAAGTTAATAAGTTTTACAGTGAAACTTGAAACCAGCTGACTTTTGCATGGATTCATTCAAAAATATCTGCACAGCACCCATGTCTTGCGGCTGTTCTGCAGGGCATGTCTTTATGCTATATCGGCTGCTGGGCGAAGGGTATGTGAAATGAAAACGTACTATGAAAACGTACTATTAAGACTTGCTTTTTAAATATTTCTTTAGAAATATAGCTAGTCATACAGATTTTTGGACAAGTAGGGTAAAGAAGAATGACAGCAAAGGAGGCAGCTGCCTGGGGAGGAGCTGAAAATCTGGCAAGGGCACTAACAAAAGCTGGGGCAAAGAGGGAAGGGCCAGACTTCATCCGGAGAAGACAGGGAAAACAGACATCTGAGATGGTGCTCCACAGTCACCTTTGGCAGGAGAAATTCCAAACTCTTCTGCATCTAGCACAAAAGACAGGCTGAAATATTTTCTTTTTGCACTTCCAATGAAATCAGTGTCTCCCTTATTCAATTGAAAGTTAACAGGCAGCAGGATAAAGACTGTAAATGAACTGTTATCCTGGGGAAACTGAGCAGCTCCATTATTCATGGCTTCACACCCTGCTTTCCTTGGAAAACACGGCCAGTGGTTCAGTTTTTATTGAAACGCCTCTGGAGTTGGAGGGCTGCACGAAGAGAGGAATCTAATGGAACAAGAAGCGGTTTAGGTGGCAGCAGCTTCCTTCATTTTTAGTGAGAGGCATCACAAGATGGTGTGGGCTTTCTTCTTGCCCAAGAAATACCTGTTGATCCTGCAGTGGAGGGTATATTGCACAGCAGTGCATCGTCAAGGAATTCTATTCAGAGATACAAGCAAAGTATTTTGGGCAAACAGCAGGGAGGGGTTTACTGTGCCTGCTTGTTTGCCTGTGCTGATGAGATATCTCAGACATTGTGCCTTGCTTGCTGTTTTATGTTGATATACCAATCCTAAAAATCTCATTTGCATGAGAAGCTGCTGCAGCAGGAGGGAGCAGACATGAGCGCATCCCTGTGCAGGTGGTGAGAGGTGTTTGTGTGTTGTTACACAAACACCTCTGGCACAGGACAGCTGCTGGTTTCTCTGTGGCAGCACTCGAGCTGCCTTGCAAAGAGACAGCAAGGAATGAGCGAGGAGAGGGTGGGAAGACATGACACTGGTGTGCATGAGACTTTGAACTCAGAGTGGCAGAGCTGGAGTCTGGGGGCAGGGATTGGGACCCCATCCCCACGGCGGATTACACTGATGTCACCAGGTTGCACTGCATGAAAAGAGCCATGCTGCTCCGTGCAATTCCTCCCATAGAGTCAAGCTGTGACATTCCACTCCTGTGAGGATAGGGAGTAGTTTCATCTCAGCTGGGACATCCCTGTCTGTTGTTCCCTGTGCTCCTGAGGCCTGAAGGCTGTGGCAGGCTGTCGGCTGCTTTTCCATGCCTTCACAGCTGGCTCCAGATCCGTTTGCCCGGGTGGCATCTGCTGTGCCACATCCCTGCAAGCCAGATGTCAGATTTTAGGTGGTGTCCTGGAAAACAGCTGTCCTGGGTTCAGCAGTAGCAGTCATGTTTTTTCCTTTGTGTTAACTGGTGCAGTGCTGTGTTTTGACTTCTAGTTGGAGAACAGCGTTGGTGAAGCCGATGTTTTCGGTTGTTGCTAAGTGATGTTTACCCTGACCAAGGACTCTGTGAGGCTCATGCTCGGCCAGGGAGGAGGGGAAGCTGTGAGGAAGCAGAGACGGGGCGCCTGACCCGGGCTAGCCGGGGAGGTATTCCATACCACAGCACGTCATGCCCGGGGTGGGGGGTAACTGGGAGTTACCCGGAAGGACAGGAGCTTCCGGGTGGAACTCGTTTTCTTGGCCGGTGGTATCGTATTCTCTTCCCTTGTTATTTTCCCTTATCATTGTTTTAGCTGATAGTAGCGGTGGTGATTTGTTGCTGGACTGTTCTTGTCTCAACCCGTAGGAGTTGCACTCTCTCGATCCTCCTCCCCGTTCCTCCGGGAGCGGGGAAGGGGAGAGCCCCGGTGCAGGGGCGGGGGGGAGACGGACACGGACCTTGATTGTTGTCAGCTCGGCACCACTCACTGGGAGTGAGTGAACAAGTTACCTGACTGGGTTTAAACCACGACAGTTCTTTTTGGCGCCCAACGTGGGGCACGAGGGGTTGAGATAAGAACAGATCTGACTGGATTGATAGTCACTCGTCACAATGCTGATTTATTGGCTCTCAAGGTTTTTCCTCTTGATCTCACAGTTTCAGTATACCATATCTTACGTCCATCCGGTATTGGCTGTATTAGTGTTTTTCAAGTGTGGGGCTTGGGCTAAGGTTTTTATCCCATTGTACTTTATGGTAATGACTTGTAATACAATAGAATCATTGATCATGAAACTGATCTGGTTTATGTTCCCAGTGTGGTCACCACCTTTATACTTTGGGAGGTATATGATGGAGGTGCTTAGCAATTACACATCTTTTTTCTCCTTCTCAGGTGCTCAACCTGTGAAGGAGACATCCTTTTACCCTCCTAGTCGTCCCCCCAGACCATTTACATTTGAGAGTTTTGAATTTTTTAAATGGCCTTTTAATGCTGTTGAGACTTGTTTACTGATGGTGATGGGAATCACCATGCTAACACGCATACAGAGTGTGTTTTGCCCACTACTGATTTCAAGAGTTAAGCAGATTCAGGTTTGGGTCTTGTCTGGGGTCAAAAGACGATGTAGGAGGACCGAGAGATTTTCCCAGAGGCTGGACAGCCATGAGTGGCAGGGTGTGTGGGATAGTATGGGCAAGTATCTAGGTCAGTGGGCCCCTCCAGTATTTTGGAATTTCACTACCGAACAACTGCAAAATCCAGAAGAATTAGTAAAACACTTAAATGAGGTGTGTGGTCATTCTGGCCATACCAGAGATGGACAAATCACGGCAACGTGCTGGGGCTTGGCCTATGCTTACAGGGCCTTGTTCAACACTATCCAGCACCTTCAAAAGGAAAAGAATATCGGCGGATTTGAGGGCAAAGCGACAGTCGCTACTCAAACTTTGGCCGCAATGAACTGCGCAGCTACCCCAGTGGCAAGTACAGCAGCTGCTCAAACTTCAACTGCAACAGACAGCGCGGTTACCCCAGCTCCAAGCACGGTAGCTACACCACCCCCAGCAACAAGTACAGTCGCTACTCAAACCACAGTGATAATCACTGCAGCCAAACCAGAGGACCAATTCGTACCAATATCAGTTGCCCCTGTACGCAAGAGAACAAGCAAAAAGGAGGCAAAAAGGGTGAAGCGAGATGAAGAACCAATGAATTCACCACCCGGTCCAGAATCTGATCAGGAGTCATCATCACATGACGAAGAAGAAGAAGAAGAGGTAACTTCTCGACCTCGAACCTCAACCGAGCTGCGGAATATGCGAAAAGATTTTACCCGTCAACCAGGGGAGCACATCATCACCTGGTTACTCCGATGCTGGGACAATGGGGCCGATGGTCACGAACTAGAAGGTACAGAAGCCAAGCAGCTGGGATCACTTGCTAGAGAAGGGGGAATTGACAAAGCAATTGCAAGAGAGAAAAGGTCCCTCAGCCTTTGGAGGAGGCTCTTGGCAGCTGTGAAAGAAAGGTTTCCGTACAAGGACGATGTTACGAGTCGTTCGGCCAAGTGGACTACTATAGACAAAGGCATCCAGTCTCTGAGGGAATCGGCCATCGTAGAGATGATCTATCACATCAAGCCAAATAACGGGGATACACCTATAGATCCAGATGAAGTTGAATGTACACGACCCATGTGGCGAAAACTTACACGGAATGCACCGTCATCATATGCCCATTCATTGGCAACAGTGACCTGGAATGACATAGTACCACTAACAGTGGATGAAATGGTTCATAAACTCCGAGAGTTCGAAGACAATCTCACTCCTTCCATCATCTCAGCTGTGAAAAAACTGTCCCAGGACCTCGACAAATTGAGGGACGATGTATCTGATTTATCCAGCTCCTCACGTGTACCAACACGCGTCTCAGCTATTAACAAAAGACGTCCTATTATTCAAGAGAGGAGATACAGAAGGTATACGCCACGGGGTACCCTATGGTTTTACCTGCTGGATCACGGAGAAGACATGACAAAGTGGGATGGAAAACCTACTTCAGCTTTGGAGGAACGGGTGAGTGAACTGAAGAGGGGAGCAAGGGCCAAGACTGATCGTCCCATGAGAGCTACGGCTTCAGTCTCTGGTGAGCAGTTTCCCAGATGGAGTGGAAGAGCTGATTTTACTCCAGCTCCTGTGATAACGAAGAATAATCCCTTTCAACACGACTTAAGTGTCCAATGCTGTGACGACCATTAGAGGGGCCCTGCCTCCAGCCAGGTGGAGGTAGGGGACAATCGGATTTACTGGACTGTGTGGATCAGATGGCCTGGCACATCAGTCCCACAGAAGTATAAGGCTCTAGTAGATACCGGTGCACAGTGTACCCTGATGCCATCAAGCTGTCAAGGGGTGGAACCCATCTATATTTCTGGAGTAACAGGAGGATCCCAAGAGTTGACTGTGCTGGAGGCTGAAATCAGCCTGACTGGGAGGGAGTGGCAAAAGCACCCTATTGTGACTGGTCCAGAGGCTCCATGCATCCTCGGCATAGACTACCTCAAGAGAGGGTACTTCAAAGACCCAAAAGGGTACCGGTGGGCTTTTGGTATTGCTGCTTTGGAGACTGAGGAAATTGAGCAGCTGTCCACCTTGCCTGGTCTCTCAGAAGATCCCTCTGCTGTGGGGTTGCTGAAAGTTGAAGAACAACAAGTGCCAATCACGACCACAACAGTGCACCAGCGGCAATATCTCACCAACCGGGACTCCCTGATTCCCATCCATCAGCTGATCCGTAGACTGGAGAGTCAGGGAGTGATCAGCAGGACCCGCTCGCCCTTTAATAGCCCCATATGGCCAGTGCGAAAGCCTAATGGATAGTGGAGACTAACAGTAGACTATCGTGGCCTGAATGAAGTCACACCACCATTGAGTGCTGCCGTACCGGACATGCTAGAACTTCAGTATGAACTAGAGTCAAAGGCAGCCAAGTGGTATGCCACGATTGATATTGCCAATGCATTTTTCTCCATTCCTTTGGCAGCAGAGTGCAGGCCACAGTTTGCTTTTACTTGGAGGGGCATCCAGTACACGTGGAACCGACTGCCCCAGGGGTGGAAACACAGCCCTACCATTTGCCATGGACTGATCCAGACTGCACTGGAACAGGGGCAAGCTCCAGAACACCTGCAATACATTGATGACATTATTGTGTGGGGCGATACAGCGGAAGAAGTCTTTGAGAAAGGGAGGAAAATAATCCAAATCCTGCTGAAAGCCGGTTTTGCCATAAAACGGAGTAAGGTCAAGGGACCTGCACAGGAGATTCAGTTTTTGGGAATAAAATGGCAAGATGGACGTAGACAGATCCCCACAGATGTGATCAACAAGATAACAGCAATGTCTCCACCAACTAATAAGAAAGAAACGCAAGCTTTCTTGGGTGCAGTGGGGTTCTGGAGAATGCACATCCCAAATTACAGTTCGATTGTAAGCCCTCTCTATCATGTGACCCGGAAGAAGAATGATTTTAAATGGGGCCCTGAGCAGCAACAAGCCTTTGAGCAAATTAAACGCGAGATAGTTCATGCAGTAGCCCTTGGACCAGTCCGGACCGGGCCAGATGTAAAAAATGTGCTGTACACTGCAGCTGGGGAGAACGGTCCTACCTGGAGCCTCTGGCAGAAAGCTCCAGGGGAGACTCGAGGTCGACCCCTCGGCTTTTGGAGTCGGGGATACAAAGGATCTGAGGCCAGCTATACCCCAACTGAGAAAGAGATACTGGCAGCGTATGAAGGGGTTCGAGCTGCTTCGGAAGTGATTGGCACTGAAGCACAGCTCCTCCTGGCACCCCGGCTGCCCGTGCTGGGCTGGATGTTCAAAGGCAGGGTCTCCTCTACACATCATGCAACTGATGCTACATGGAGTAAATGGGCTGCACTAATTACACAACGAACTCGAATAGGAAATCCCAGTCGTCCAGGCATTCTAGAAGTCATCATGGACTGGCCAGAGGGCAAAGATTTCGGAATGTCA